TTTATGCATATAATTATTTATTTTTAAGGAGGGTCGAGAATATATCAGAGGTGTTCTAGGGGTGGTGGGCTATAGAAAATGTTGGGAACCCCTACCTGACAGGAACAAATGACCCCCAAATTTCCACTGCTAGCAAGACGAGCCATTTAAGTGAGTTTTGCCCCATTTTATGACCTTTCTGAGGAATACAGCTAATCCTCGACTTACAACGACAACCCAGCCCAACGTTCAGTTGTTGAGTGAGTTTTGCTCTATTTCAGGGCCTTTCTTGCAACCGTTGTTAAGTGAATCCCTGCAGTTGTTCAGCGAGTCACATGTTCGTTAAGTGAATCCGACTTTCTCATTGACTTTGCTAGTCAGAAGGTTGCAAAAGGAGATAACAATAATATGAGTCGGTTGCCAAGTATTTGAGTTTTGATCATGTGAACACCCATCGTAAGTGTGAAAAACTGTCATAAGTCACATTTTTCATTGGTGTTGTAACTTCAAACAGTCACTAAACAAATCGTTTTAAGTCGAGGACTATATATTTTTTATAGCTGTAACTATATATATTTTATAGCTACTGTATTTTCTAAAGCGCCTGTAGGCCAGACAAGGAATAATGGATGGAAACTGAACAAGGAGAGATTTAACTTGGAAATAAGGAGAAAACTTTCTGACAGCGAGAACAATCAACCGATGGAACAGAAGTTGCCCTCAGAAGTTGTAAGAGCTTCATCCCTGGAGGCTTTCAAGAAGAGACTAGACTGCCATCTGTCAGAAATGGTGTAGGGTCTCCCGCTTGGGCGGGGGGTTGGACTGGATGACCTAAAAGGTCCCTTCTACCTCTGATTATCTGTTATCTGTTATCTAATCAGTTAAAGAACATGTACTGTGCTGGAAAATGTGGAGCTTCTGAGAATGTGCAGATTTAGTTTGGGGAAAAGCTAAAAAAAAAAAAAAGACCAGTGGGTAGGACTAGAACAGAGGTCGCCAACCTTTTGGACCTCAAGGACCGCCAAACTCATAATTTTCAATCCCGCGCACCAGAGACCCTGGGAAAATCCCCCAAAAAGTCTGCAGGAAAATCCCCCACCCTGTTTCCCTATCGGTCGATCATTCTTTATTTGGGATCTCAGGATACCGTCTCCAGCTCCGTTCTCAGGGAGAGAGAAAGAGAGAGAGAGAGAGACTTTTGGCTTCATGCAAGGAAAGCAGCAGAAGCAGCAGAAGTCTTTCTTTCTCTCCCCCGAACTCCGCCAGACTGGCGCAGCCTCTTGGAGCAGGAGGCCTTGCAGGGTCCCAAAGACTCGTTTCTGGTGGAGTTTGGGGGAGAGAAAGAAAGACTTCTGCTGCTTTCCTTGCGTGCAGCCAAAAGCAGAAGAAGAAAGAAGCGGAAAGAAGCAGCCCAGTGGCCAGGCCAGGCGCGTGGGGCGAGTGGGGCGAGTTCCCCCCCTCCGCCCTTTCCCCCCTCCCCTCACTACCTCGTGTTGTTCGCAATGCAAGCGACGCAAGCCTTGTGTTCCCACGCAGCCTGATTAATTGCTTTGGGGGTGCCATTTCTCTGCGGACCACCAAAATTTTTTCGCAGACCACCAGTGATCCCTGGCCCACTGGTTGGCGACCACTGGACTAGATGACCTCCGAGGTCCCTTCCTATTATGTCATTCTGTTAATATCCTGCTCTGAAAGATCCAGAGGGCTTTTTTGGGGTTAGTTTTGTTTTGTTTTTAATTTGGATTTGTTTTCTCTTCTTGTCATCAGGAGCTTCAAATGTTTAGAAAGAAAAGGGAAAAAATTAAAAAAAAATGAATCACAGGATAAAAAGTTTTCTGGCAATCACAAAACAAAGTTAGTGTTTATTCCACACCCAGGAAAGTTTCTTTGTTCCCTAAATATCAGCTGCTTCTGACCCTTCAAATAAAGTAAAAATAACAATTACTTGGCACAAGATTTAAACTTTCCCATTAATGTGATCGTGTCCCAGCAGATCCACAAACCCAGATGGGGGGGAGGGCTGTTTAACAAACCTTGGCTTAATAAGATCGTTAAGTGCCAGTAGCTCAGACTGACATCAGATCTTGGGACTCCATGTAGTCCTTGACTTACGACCACAATTCAGCACCAAATTTCCATCGCTAAGCCAGGCGGTCATTAAGAGAATCTTGCCCTGCTTGTCACCATAATCATTTGGCCAGAATGTTGGGAGCCAAGAGGCTGACTCTGTAAACCACTTAGAGAGGGCTGTAAAACACTGTAAAGTGGTATATAAGTCTATTGCTAGGGAAGGAAGGAAGGAAGGAAGGAAGGAAGGAAGGAAGGAAGGGGG